ATATAAACAATATAAAAAAGAAATTATTAACCTTTGTACATCAGAGGACTTCATCAGCAAAGTGAAGACACAACCTACAGATTGGGAGAAAATTTTTGGAAACATATATTGAATAAAATTTTTTATCCAGACTATATAAAGAACTCCTAAAATTTAACAATAAAAAAACAATAACAACAATTCAATCAAAAAATGGAGAAAGAACTTGAATAGACATTTCACCAAAGAAGTATACAGATGGCCAACAGGCACATGAAAATATGCTTAAAGTCATTAGTCACTAGGGAAGATATAGATATATATATATATGTATAACAAAAACGAACCTACTGTCATTGAGTCGATTCCGACTCGCAGTGACCCCATGGGGTTTCCAAGGCTGTAAATCCCTTTGGAAGCAGACTGCCACATCTTTCTCCCACGGAGCCACTGTTGGTTTTGAACTGCCGACCTTTCAGTTAGCAATCAAGCGCTTTACCACTGCTCCGCCAGGATTCTCTGTCTCTCTGTCTCTCTCTATATATATAGCCACAAAAAAACAAAATTATTGGAAGATGTCAATGTGGAATGGATTTATTGTGAAATATTATCAATTTATTTGTTGAAGATATGGGAAGAGTTGTCAGTTGGGAAAGGATGCGTAAGGGAGCTACCCCAGATATGGGAGGACTGGAGTGAACACATGGATATGGAGACAGCTCATGCAGGCGCTTTAGTGAGGCAAAGGCAGGTCAGGTAGATGGGGCCGGGAAGACCCCCACATCAGAGGCTAGGTCTTCATTCAGTGCAGCTGAGCTGGGAATGGGGCACAGTGAGTATGTTCCAGATAGATAAGAAAATAATGACCAAGGCTTTAGTGAATCGTGGTAATCAGGATGGAATGTAAAGCACTGATTGAAAAGCAGAGTTCAGCATTTTGTTAAAAGAGACAAAGGATTAAAGAAGTGATATCATATCTCCAACCTAGAGAACTGTAAAGTTGGTGGTATGCCTAACTGTGTATGGTGGGAAAATTGAAAGTGAAAAATGAGGAGCATCTATATGTGATAACAACTTGATAGTCACAGTGGGCCATGTGACTATGGCCATGTAAATGTACTCTTCAAGAGTGAGAAATATTTGTTTTGAAAACAAACTTCTTTGAGGCTAGAAAGAAATTTCAAAAGTCATATATGATGAAATAATATTTTTCATGGATGGAGAGAGTACTGTGGTAGAATGTGCTTTGATTTTGTACACATATTCAATATTTATTTTATTTATTTATTTTGCCCTATCATTCATGTGTCTGACCCCTGGCACATATTTCCAAAATCATTGATGTATTTGGGATACAAAGGAAAAAGCTATCTGATCAACATTGTCTTCTAAAGTTCTAAGCCATGCCTTTTTTTTTCTTCTTGAAAATCACCAGATAAATCAAGGAAAGGACCATGATTATAATCAGAGGGCTCTAAAGGGCCATTTCCTTTAACCCTACAAGTATTAGCTTGCTCTGATTATAAGATAAAATATGTAATTGGCCAGTTGTCATTTTTTGAGAAAATTTAAAGCAATAACCTGTTACCCTAAAATACTCTTTAGGGACAATTTAGAGGTGTTTACTGGCAGTTTATGTTTGAAATTAGAATTTTTATATTGGAGATGTAAAACTGAAAGTACTTAGACTTTTAAAATTATTGTCTATATTTCTTAGTGATATATCTATATTAAAACAAAAGATTCTCCCTTCATTTTGAAACCTTGGACCTAATAGAACTTTTCCTTAATGTGATCATTGAAGTTTTCTGTTAAAGTTAGAAGCACTTCATTTTCAGCATATAGGTTTTTTTTTTTCCCACCCTCATGTTGGGAGCTATAAAGAAAAGCCATAATATTGAAATATGATATCAGTATTGTTGACTAAAATTTTTATTCTTAACATTGGACTTACTTAGAAAATAGAATATAATCTGAATACTTTCGTTTTCTTTTAGGTCTTCGGATAACTGTGCTTCTGACATCCTTCCTCATGGTTTTGGGAACTGGTCTAAGATGCATACCTATATCAGACTTAATACTTAAAAGAAGGTAAATCCTGTAAATAACTAAAAATTCTTCCCATGTTTTTCTTTTTTTGTTATGAGTATATTATGTGTGTTTGGTTAAAGCTTTTAGTGAACAGTTCCACTTTTAAGAGAATGAATTAAAACAAAAACAAAAACACACCCATTGCCGTTCAGTTGATTCCAACTCATAGCGACCCTATAGGACAGAGTAGAACTGCCCCATAGGGTTTCCAAGGAGTGGCTGGTGGATTTGAACTGCCCACCTTTTGGTTAGCATTCAAGCTCTTAACCACTGTGCCTCGAGGGTCATATTGCGAGAAGTACTTTTTTTTTCCCTACATGATGATTAATTCAGGGGACATTTGTTAGATATCATATACAAGACACTATAGTTAGCTATTGTCGAAATAAAAACAGAACAGGTTAATCTGCATGCTATCCAGGAGCTGCAATAACTGTGGGAAAATAATAGTATAACATAAGGAAGAATACTGTAGTTAATGCCATAAGCCCAAAACCAGACCCACTGCTGTCAAGTCCATTCCAACTCCTCATGACCCTATAGGACAGGGTAGAACTGTTCCAAAGGGTTTCCAGGGCTGTAATGTTACAGAAGCAGACTGCCACATCTTTCTCTCACAGAGTTGCTGGTGGGTTCAAACCGCTGACCTTTCAGTTAGCAACTGAGCACTTAACCACTCTGCCACCAGAGCTCCTTAGTTAATGCCATAGAAGCGGCATAAAATTGCCTGGAGACTGAGATAAGTTTTGGCTGAGGTTATCAACAAGAAGAGTTCTTTCTTGAAGGAAGTGGTAAATAAACTAGGCATTGAAGGATGTGTAGAATTTTGGTAAGTGTAGTTAGGGCAAGGATGTTCCAGGTTGGGAGAACAGCAGGCATGAAGGCATGGAAGCAGGTAAGCTCAGGCCCTTCTGGGATGGGCAGGTAGTTTCTCATTTATGTACAGCAGTATTTCTGTAACTGGGGTTCATAGGTTTATTCTCACGGGGTATGAAGTATATGAAGACTTTAAAATTTTGTTTTCATTTTGGTTGTAATAGTCAAAATTATTTTACCAGTAATAATCTACAATTAAAAGACATTTTTATTGACCAATACATCAATTCTTAAATTAGCATTTGTCAAACTGGAGTCCTTGGATGTGACCTTGACAGTCACTGAGAAATTTTTTTCCTTTAAACAAAGCCCATAAATTAATCAAGTTTAGAAGATACTGGTCTACAGAATAAGGCGTAAGAATGGGATATAAAGAGATGAAGTTAGAAAAGGGTATCCTGATTAGGAATAATCTTGATACCATCCTGAAGAATTGCATTTTCCTCACGAGACAGTTGGGAGCCACTTAGGTTTTAATCAGAGCAGTAATAGGATCAGACCTGTGTTAGGTAAACTACTGATGTGAGAGGTATGTAGGATTGATTATGGTGGGTAGAGACTGCTGCCAGGAGACCAGGAAAGATGCCCTGAGAGCCCAAGCTGGAGTCGTTCTTTTGTTTGTTCATTTCAGTTCATTCATTCGACAAAATTTACTGAGCTCCTGCTATGGGCAAAGCTCTCTTCTGGGCATTGGGAATACAGCAGACAAAAATCCCTATCTCTTGGAGTTTACATTCCAGTCAGGGAGACTGATAATAACTAGATAAATAAGTCAAATATATCCTATGTTAGATAGTGATAAGTCTTGTGGAGAAAAAAATAAAATAGGGAAAAAAGATGTGAAATGTTGGGAGGAAGGATGGTGAAATTTCCAAAAGAAAGGCCAGGGAAAACCTTACAGAAAAATAAGCTTTTTGAGTAAAGACTTGAAGGAAGTAATGGAAAATCAATACCTAGGGGACAAGCATTCCGGCAGAGACAGCAGCAAGTGTAAAGGGCAGAAGGGAGGAGACACCTGGAAGGGAGCCTGGTATGTCTGGAGCTGAGAGAGTGACTTTCCGGGATGGGTGGTAAGAAATGAGATCAGAGCAATTAGGGGTGATGGTGGGAGTATGGGACCAGATCCTTTAAGAGCTTGTCAGCTGCTATAGGGACTTCAGCTTTTTCCCGAGCTAGGAAATCATTGGAGGTTTGAGGTGAGGAGTGACATAATCACAGGCTGCTATCTTTTTTTTTTTTAATTTTTTAAAATTTTTTAAATTGTACTTTAGATGAGGGTTTACAGAACAAATTGTTTCTCATTAAACAGTCACTACACATATTGTTTTATGACATTGGTTAACAACTCCACAACATGTCAACACTCTCTCTTCTCGACCTTGAGGACCTTTTTTTTTGGTGAAAATATACATAGCCAAAGTTACACCATTTCGAAAGTTTCTACATGTACAATTCATTGACATCGATTACATTCTTCCAGTTGTGCTGCTATTCTCACTATCCTTTTCCAAATTATTCCATTACCATTGTCTTCAACTCACTGTCCCCTAGGCTTCCCATCAAACCTTTTGAGTTGCTGTTGTCA